TTTTCTTGGTGTCTGAAAGTTTGTTCTTGATTAAAGAAGGAACATTAACCCAAAGAAGTCCACTTGTTTGCTTAAAACCACATCTTTATAGTGAGCAGACGTTCATCCTTCTAATTTACGGTCTTTTGTGATTCAGTAAGTTCCTTTAGTGTCCACTAGAGGCTGTGTTCAAAAGCCCAAGAGAGCCCATGGAGTACCTCGATAAACACCTGGCCTGTTAAACTCACTTTTTAATTCATAAACTCAGAGTTATGATTTTATGTAATAAAGGACATGACAGTTTGACTGACAGGAGGCTCAGTTACAGCTGGATTTGCAGGTTTTGGGATAAAGAAGAAGAACGGTGTCCTTGGTTTTCCCAAGATGATTCCTGCTATAATTAAACTTCCCAACAACTGTAATCAGAGTTTAACTCATCACTGTTACTTCACGACTGTTTGCAGTAATCTGTGGTTACTTATTAAACTCAATAACTCAAATACAGTTGGAGGTCCTTCCTACAGCTGAGCAGCAACATCCCTGTGATAAAAACATCTCTCTGCTGTAACTTAAAAGTGAGGTAGGCAGGAATCCATTAAAAAAGCAACTTTTTTGTGGTTTATATGCAAAAAAAGCTTTTAATGTCAGTCAGTAGTTATTATATTATATTGATGACATTTGGTAATATATCGATATTGCTGTGTTTTGTATGCCTGTGTAGACATCATTTTAACATTTTTGAGCGGCCCGCTCTTCCTGACTGTAAAAAAAGTCATTCTCCACCTCCCCGACCTGATTGGTTGTCAGGCAGACACTGCTCCCTCATGTTGTGAGGCGCGCTCCACGTCCTCCAATAACGTGCATGAGCCAAAACAAAGTTAGCATGCTACAATATCTGACTGTAGAAACCAACCAGAAAGTTCGGGAAACAAAAGCAAGAAAACGAAGTAAATATCGGAGACTCTGGCGCAATAACGGGCGCTTAAAAAGGAGGTAAACCGGACAAGAGCTGAAAAGCCGAGTCATAATCAATGATCAAACAAAGGGGGACACTTCAGGATCTTGGTGACCCTGTAACCTTTCTGCTGGAGAGGTAAACAGCTTTAACAAAGTAAGCCAAGTGTCTGTAACAGAAGTGTTTCTTGTCAAACAGAACCTGCTGTAGCGTGTTGTAGCACCGCTAAACTGTTGACCTCGGGTCCTTCACTATGTCACTTTATCCTAGTTGTAGAAGTCCTGCAAACATTGTGTTTGCTTGTAGTCTGTTGGCATCTACAGTAGCACCAATGCTTTTTACTTTCACCTTGACTGGGCCCCATTTGTAATTATCTGAAGTATTTATCTGCATTATATCTGAATTTAATTGGAACAATACAAGCGAGCAGGAGCGTCTGTTTGTGGACGGAGGTTACTGGTGCAGAGAGGGAGGGGAGAGGAGGAGCTGAGGGGAAAACTGGTTGGGAGGGGTAGAGTTTACGTTCAAGATTTCTCCTAAAAACTGGAACTTCCTCAGATCATGACTACCCCACCTTTAATCTAACTGTGCATATAAAAGCAGGCTGAGGGACGACTAAGGTGCACCGAGGTCCGCCAAGCTGGGCGTGGTGGCGTGGCAGAGGGAGGTGTCGACAGAATCAGCTGCCCCAGTGACATTTTCGTGCTCGCCGGTGGCATGTAAAGTGCACTGAAAGCTTGCCAGTTCAAACCTGGTCAGCTTTCAGTGCAGGCAGAGCGCAGCCTGGCAGTGGTATTTTGGTAGACCGGCGGCATATCGGCATACGTCACCGATGCCTCACTGGCAGGTTTCCACAGTGTCAGGCACATTTCAGTGCAATAAATAATCAACAACAACTAATAATCTGAGTCAGCACATACATTTAGATCTATATCGATATATTCTGACCTATATCTGATCTGATGAGTGCGTTTGGCACGCGTTTGGACACACAACCTGACCGAATCAACACAGCTGAAACCGCATTAAATTAAATGAAATATCTAGTAAATAAACACACATGATGAAGTTAACAAGATATGTAATTCGTCTCCCTCCTTTTCTTTCTTCCTCTTCCTCTTATTTCTCTCGCAGCTCGACCTGGACATGTCTCCGTGTCCTCTCCCCATCCTGCTGCAGCAGCGGCTGAACAGATGATTTGTTTCAGTGATCAGATGAGTTATTTACTTTAAGCCTCCATACGAATATTATAATCTTCAGTTTTGTGAGTCAAATTTATTTTATATGCCAACATCTATGAAAGAAGGAGCCAGGCCACGGAGCGCGATGTGTCATTACGCACAGATGGTTCCGATTTTAATGCCATTATTGGAATTTATGATGTGATCTGTGCGCACAACCCACCTTTGTCACGTGAGGTTTGAATATGTGCAACTTTATGTGAGTGTCTTTATTTGTGGAAAAGGGTGTTTGTCTTACCAGTGGGTCCAACATTACACACACCAAATCCATCTGTGCTCATATGAGAGCGTGTGAAGGACGCACTCTGCAGTGTTTACAGCGACACTTGTTGAGGGGCTGCCTTCTGTCGCCATCGTGTGGCATTACTGTCTTCAGACATCTCTTGATCTCTTTGACCACTTCACAAAAATAGTAATACGCCTCGCCGGTGGCGGATTTAAAGGAGAGGAGAGGAGCTTATGTTATTGGTCAATATAGGTCCAGGCTGTGTTAAACCGACTCCACGCCCTCTCTCCTCCCTCGCTACGACTTACGCCGCTGGGAGGAGCTGAGTTAGGGAGGGGGGATACTTACGCCGGGCTGCGCCGCTTACCAAAATACCAAATTGTGCTTGGGAACGCCTTGTCGGCGCGGCGGACCTGACTTAAGCCGTGCCTGCGCAATGTCTCCGGCGAAGCACGAGAATAGAGCCCCTTGACTTACTTACAGTGACGGTGAGCAGTCTGGTATGTTAGCTATGTACACAGCAGGATTGGGCAGCTGACTTTCAAAGGTATTGTGTGACTCAGAAATCTTGTCAGAATCAGCTTCAGAACTGACAGTGAATGTCTGTCATGACCATGGAGGTGTGAATCATAATAGAACCCTGAATTACTTTGTGGGAAAAAAAGCATTTGCAGTTTTATGTATTCGACTGAGTGAGCAGGAATTTGAGATGGTGATGTGTTACATGCTTTTGCAGAACTGGTCGTGGTTTCAGGTGTTTTATTTGTGCACCATTTAAGGGGATCACACCGTATAAGTGTAGCATCAGGGCAGCTGGTTAACTGTACTGCAGTTAGTTTTAAATCTACCCTGGAGTAAATTGTGAAATGTCACTTTGAAAAAATTAGCAACAATATTTCACAGAATTAAGTTTGCAGTGTGAACACAGCCATTAAGAGCTGAAGGGGGAAAATATGCCAGTGTGTGTGTGTAGGATTATCTCCCAGGTTACTTGGCAGAGTCCTGTTCAGTGTTTTGACAACTATGGCTCTGAATGAAGGGAGGATTTGGTGTGTGAATATGTTTCTCTGCTTTGTGCTCTGATTCTCTCAAGTCCTCCCACGTGAATTCATCAGAGTAGAAAACACTATATATATATATATATATATATATATATATATATATATATATATATATACATAAACACATATTTCATAGCACATTTGTCTGAGAGAGTAATGAGTCTGTCATGGATGTAGAGCAAACTCCTGTACACCGTAAAAGGAGTATGTTTATCTGGCTGAGATTCTGAACCTCAATGTTGACCACAGCTGGAGATATTTTTACCTGTTCAACATCTCAAAGCAGCTCAAAAAAAAAATATATGTCACTGTTAACTGACCTCTGGTTCCACTTGAGGTTTCTGCCTGTTAAAGGAAGTTCTTCTTCTCCTCTTAGGCCAGGAGCCAGTTACACCCCACGCGCTGTTTTTTTGCTACCTTTTTTTCACTATTATTTCTTGTTATCCTATACATTGGAGCATAACAAGTTCATACTGTCTGCCCCCAACTCGGCCCCGTTTGGCCCCAGGCCAAAAAACCTTACTTTTGGGAAAAGCTTCTGGCGAAATGGTGTAATTGCAAATATTAGGGTGCTGCAACTGCATAAATGGTCAAATAAGTCTGAAATTTTGCATGGTGTATCCTAACACATAGGGGAAACTACCAGAATAATAATATGGGGCTTACTGCCATTCTATTGTCAAATATCACCCTCTGAATACCCCAAAAGACCAAAAAATGTCTGTCCGCCTAACAAATTGTCATCAAAAGTGATCATTTTAAAGTATTTTCTTATACATTTTACTGCCTACCATGGATATGGAAAACTTCCTACATTTATAAGTTTCAATTTAAGTCCAAGAAATCCCAAAATCGGAGAAACCTGACAATTCCAGAATCACCATTCCAAATGGGATAAAGCACATTTTCTGAATCTAAATCAAATCTTAAACAATATTTGAAATATGAGTTATGTAGTACTACACTATCTGAAGTGAATTACATAAAATTAATAATGATATACCCCCAGGTGGACCAGGGTATCAAGGTCCAACATTACACATGATCACACCGAATCCGGGAACCAAATAGGAGATTTATTAAAGAACAAGATCCGGACAAGGAATAAAAATGACTTGTGAACATTTCTTAACAATAGATTTACATTCTGTGCAACCTAATGTAGAAATATGGAAAAAAAAGCTCAACCATAAAACACATTGCTATGGTCCTTTTTTACTGTACTTTGACCACTAGTCATATCAATGTATTGTGTATACAATATGTCCCAGAATATCCACTTGGGAAGTTTTATGTTTATTTCATCTATCCTTCTTTTGCTTTCTCTTAGCTGCAGCTGTCTGGGATATTGATGTGGCTACACTCATAAAAATGTTCTGCTCCAGGATGTGTCCTCAATGCTTATGAAATATACTTAGTAGGCAATGTGAGGATTCTAGTATAGTTTTGCTGCTCTGAGAGGGCTTTGTATGATGATAATGATGATGTTATATGTACTGAGATTCCGGCTGATAAGACTGAGACAATATAACTGGATTTTAATCATCATCTTCCTCCTCTTGCTCATCATCATCCATATTTGTATGGGTTTCATCAGCTAAGTCATCCTCATCTGTTTCTTCTTCTGCCAAGATGTCGACAAGGCCTTTGGGGATGACGTCACCCTCAAACCATAGTGGTTCTAACTTGCCCGTCTCTGTGTTCATATAAACTCCATGGTCAAGAGGGGATGGGCTCTCTGGGTAGTGCTCATGAGCCCTCTTCCAGACACATACCTGGAAGTTGACTCTTTTTATGTGCTGAAAAAGGACCCTCTTGCAAGGTGGGATGGTTGAGCGGTCAACGGAGAGACCCTGCTGAAGCTCAAGGCTTGACCCACACATTTTCTTGATCTTAACCTCTCTTGCCTCATCGACTTTTTTGACTCGACGACTGAACCCATAGAGGCGACATGTAAACTCTTCAACACCACTGAGAATCGTCTCATCAAGCTCCCAAGAGTTCCCCACTTCAGCAAAGATCTGGACAAATTTTGAGTTCTGATTAAGAATCTTTGTTGGTTGCACCTTCCCTTTGCCTTTGAATGCTGAAGTGCAGTCAGCCCCAGTAAAAGCATGCAGGGCAGGCAGAGCCGAAATGTGTTCCTCTGAATAGTCTTCAGCCAGCTGGTTGATATTGATGAGTCGATCTCCCATATCAAAGATGATGTTGACAGTAGATGACTTGGCATAATACAGGAGGATAAAGAAAATGTCAGAATCTTTTGCTCTGACTGACTGTTGTGATGTGAGGCATTTTGTTTTGGATGTACTGCATGTAAATGATCACCCTCACATCAGTCTCTTCATGTCTTGAACAGATCTCAGGTAGAAGTTCTTTTGACATCACTACAGCTTTGCATTCTATCCTGAAAGCTTGACCAGCCTCTATAAAAATGACAGGCCTTCAGAGGATGTCTTCCATCATATCATGAGAGCTCCAGTGATCCAGGAGTAAATGGATGAGTGCCTTCTTGTTGTCATCGCTTGTGAGAAAACCATTCCAGTCACCTGTAATTTTCCAGTAGGAAAGGTCAGCTTGGACTTAAATTGAAGCTTATAAATGTGGGAAGTTTTCCATATCCATGGTAGGCAGTAAAATGTATAAGAAAATACTTTAAAATGATCACTTTTGATGACAATTTGTTGGGCGGACAGACATTTTTTGGTCTTTTGGGGTATTCAGAGGGTGATATTTGGCAATAGAATGGTAGTAAGCCCCATATTATTATTCTGGTAGTTTCCCCTATGTGTTAGGATACACCATGCAAAATTTCAGACTTATTTGACCATTTATGTAGTGGCAGCACCCTAATATTTGCAATTACACCATTTCACCAGAAGCTTTTCCCAAAAATAAGTTTTTTTTGGCCCCTATGAATTTTTGGTCAATATGAACTTATTATGGTCCAATGTATAGGATAACAAGAAATAATTGTGAAAAAAAGGTAGCAAAAAACAGCGTGTGGGGTGTACCTGGCTCATGGCTCATGTGGTTAAAGATAAGGGGATGGAGTGGGTCTGATCTTACAGGATAAGGCCCAGTCTTTACATTGGGTCGTTGTTAATAGCATCTGATCCAGACCTGCTTGGTAGTTCAGCGTGAATTAAATTATATAACAATGTAAAAATAAAGACTGAATGGTTGAAAAGTACGACTGAAGTTGTGCACAGAGGAGTGCATGGTCTTCCACGACCATATTCGGAAATGATGACGAATATCCTGAAGACTCAGAGAAATAAAAGATGCTGACACCCTCGATCAGGGAACACGTCTGTGAATCTAGTAGATGCATGTCTGTGCTCCAGTCTTGTACTTTCATTATATATATCCTGAACTCTGGTGTCTGCTTCTCATCATTTAAGAAAGATTTTTCAATTATTGAACTTCTGTGTCAACAGCAAATAAAACAGTTTGCATCCAGTTTACTGATTCAGCATCAGAGTGAGGATGAGAAAAAATATTCGATAAAGACACAACATACTGCATCACATCATAACATACAGTTTTGTAAAATATCATCATCATTTGATATTGTATCATATCACGCTATGATAAAAATAAATAAGTAATGAAGTAATCAGTGTTTCTCCTAGAATTTTTTTCAGCTGCGGCGCTGCTGTGTGTGTGTGTGTGTGTGTGTGTGTGTGTGTGTGTGTGTGTGTGTGTGTGTGTGTGTGTGTGTGTGTGTGTGTGTGTGTGTGTGTGTGTGTGTGTTGTTGTGCTTACAGAGTGCGAGTAGAAATCCTTGGTGGTGCATTGATATTAATGATCATGTGAAATGTCAGTAGGCGGTGCGCCACTGCTGAATGAATGTACACTGCTGATACATATGAGTCCGAGGTAGAATTATGTGAGATAAAAAACTAATTTTTTTTAGGTGTGGCGGCTTTTATTTAGCCATGGCGGTGCGCCACAATCAATTGCATGTAGGGGAAACCCTGGTAATATTATGTAATAGCAATAATAAAATACAGTTATTCTTACTCTTATATCATATTATAACATATCTCGTCATAGTATGATGTTTTATAGAATCATATTAAACCTTATTCTATTGTACCTGATCACATTTTATCATATTGTTTCTTAGCATACAGTAACATACTGTAATATATTGTGTCATGGCATATTTAATCACATCATATTGTATCACATAATATCGTACCATAACACATTGTATCGAATCATATTGTATTGTATCATATTGTATGGTCTCATGTATCTTATCAAACGTTATTGTACTGTATTGTAACATCTAGTATTTTATCCTATTGTATAGTCTTGTTTTGTATTGAAAAAGTTCCTTATTTGGAGCGCCTCCTCTCTGTTTTGTATAAAAGCAGACTTATGGCCCTCAGGGTATATAGTGATGCATTATCATCATGCAAACATGTGTTTCAATATTTTTACAAAAAAAATAAAAACATAAAAAAATGTTATTAAACTATCCAAATATCCAAACTGCAGGTGTGTCACAAAGATTTTACCTAATGTTTGAAAATTTAATTTAATAACCTCTGAGCAGTAAATGTTTGGCCCCTCCATAGACCTCTCACGACTCCTCTACGGACCCTGGACTACAGGTTGGGAACCAAACCGTTCTGTATTATATGGTACTGCCTACATTGTATTGTAATGTGTCATATAAGTATGTATTACACAACAGTCATGTAACTGACCTTACTGAAAAGATCATTTGAACTTTAAAGGTGCCTTTTGTTTGTCTCAGTACACACGACCCTATAACTAAAACCAACATTTGGAGTGTTTTGATTGGCTGCTTGAGTGCAGCTCCTCATCTGCAGCGTGAATGGATATTTCTGGCCCTGAATGAATGGATGTATATGATGCAGCATTCACAGACACATTTGTTGGCAGCAGGACTGGCCTTCAGCACACTGCTGTGACGCAATCAGTCTAAAAAAGGGCTTTTTGAAGGATGTGACCCCTGATTTGGGACACAGCTTATGTGAGTGTTTTTGTGTGTATATTTGTACACACTCCTTCTCCTTCTCAGAGGAGTGTGTTCAAACATGGCCAACTGTTTAACTGAGGCAGATAACAACCGCGATAGAGAGAATAGACATTTATCAACTCAGCAAAACGCATTGTACCTGCTCCAATCACTGCACTGCCCTGTGTGTGTGTGTGTGTGTGTGTGTGTGTGTGTGTGTGTGTGTGTGTGTGTGTGTGTGCGTACGCTTGCACAATTTATGTTTATGCTCATCTTATATAATTGCATATACACCACAATAAAAAAATTTCAGACTGTTATAAGGTCGCATACTAAAAGCCATAAACTTAAACAGTATGTGTGTTTGCTGCATAATTTAAGGTGTGTGTGTGTGTGTGTGTGTGTGTGTGTGTGTGTGTGTGTGTGTGTGTGTGTGTGTGTGTGTGTGTGTGTGTGTGTGTGTGTGTGTGTGTGTGTGTGTGTTATGTAAAGGTAAACCAGCTCAGCAGAACATGACACAGCAGCTGTTTGTCTCAAACTGTGAGGTTCACTGAAATCTTCCCTCTGGTTCATCAAACTCTGCATGTACACAAACACCGACCCCCAATATCAGCTTGACCTCTGGCCTCTGTGTCTGTTTGATTTCTATTTATGGAAGTCTTCTTTTATAACATCATTTGGACATTACACCGTGAAACGCCCACCTGAAAAAGGTTTAAGATTTTCAGGATTTTTCTGATTCAACAGTGAAGAAACAGAAACTCAGTCTGTCATAATAAACTCCCTTTTACAGCAGTGAAGTTAAAATGAAACTAACCTAGCTGTGAGTCAGGCTGATTTTTAAGATGTTTATAAGCTCAATAAGTAGTTTAATATTAACCCTAATCTTCATGAGTGTTGTAATAGACCCGTAAAACAGTTTAGCTCTGCCTTCAGGAATGAGGCTGAATCTAAAGCCTCTTCCACGCTGCAACAGAGTTAAACCAACACTCAGCCTTTACACTGACACAGTGTATGTGAATAGTGGTGCTTCACTGTTTGATCATATATCCCACTATAACATTGAACACGCCTGCAGGAAACACCTGAAGGTGAGGACGCTGACAAAGCCCAATCAAAACTAAGACGTCCAAGTGATGTTCACTCACTCATATAATGATACTACAGCACAGTGGTGTACTCATGGTGTCCTGTTCGAGGACTGTCCTCCATACACACACAAAAAAATCTTAATACACATTCCAGTTCTTAACAAGCATATACAACTTTTTTTTATGTAAACAAGAAAAGACATCATGTTACAGGTGAATATTAACCTGAAAAGTCCACAGTGATTCAGTCCTTTGAGGACATGTCTGCAGTGTTTTCCTATTTATGTATGTGTGTGTGCAGTGGTCCACCTGTATTTTAACTGATTTAAGTCCCTGTCCTCAGTATCCTGTTCTTCAATCTGGCCTCAGCCCACAGCAGAATCCACTTTCACCTGCTGCAGCAGCTCAGGAGACAACAGCGTGCAAACTGTCTTCGCTACTATTGCTGTCAAACATGTGCACTTTAGACCACTCGACATTGAATGCGATCTGTCTCTCCAGCATGTTCACATTCAGTCAACGAGATGAGCGACTCAGCTAGCATAAGAGAGCAGACATAGATATATATAGAAATGCTAGATGGCTTACGCATGCTGTTAGCCAATGGAGACCGACGTCAGCGCATGGTGGCCACCTTGCTTCAGGCAGCTCGCCCACTCATAACATTCCAGTCTACTGTGCATGTAGCATTTAAATAACCATAGATTGGTTCATTTTAAACCAATTTTCAAACGGTTTGGTTTCTAACAAACCTCAGATTTTTAGCTGTGTTCCTGCATACTCAAGAATAATTTTAACCATGGATTTTCATAAATAAACATTAAGCAGATAGGCAGAGCAATAGCTATAGGCTTACACACACAAGGCAGTTTTATTCAATCATTTATATATAAAACATTTAATCAGACGCTGTGACGTGTAGAGACGTGTAGAGACGTGTAGAGACGCCGGGGACTCCACCTCATAGAGTCATCTAGCCTTTCTTATAGATATCTATGGGAACAGAGGGCGGTTTGTTTACATTTTCAAACAATAAGAGATCAGAGAATTGAGTGACGCCGCTTTTAGCCAATCATTTTTTAATCAATCTTACTTTTTCCTAGTGAAA